TCCTAATTCATACAACTTGTGAGAGATAGAGCCAGATTTCAAAGCCTTATTGTCTGACACCAGAGCCCTTGGCATTGAACTTAAGTTATATCACCTCCCCTGTAAACATGTTCGTTAAAAGAAAAGTGAACAGGGCTTCCCTGGTGGCGCAGTGGTTGAGAGTCCGCCTGCCGATGCAGGGGACACGGGTTCGTGCCCTGGTCCGGGAAGATCCCACATGCCGCGGAGCGGCTGGGCCCGTGAGCCATGGCCGCTGGGCCTGCGCGTCCGGAGCCTGTGCTCCGCAACGGGAGAGGCCGCAGCAGTGAGAGGCCCGCGTACCGCAAAAAAAAAAAAAGAAAAGTGAACAACTATATGATTAAGTGCCTTTTCTTATCTCCTTTCTTTTACATCTCAGCCCCATTTCCTGCCACTCCCCCACATCACTGTGTACAGTCCAGCCATTTCTATCTTATTTTCTTTGCACTGAAATGTTTATTTTGTCTCTAAGCTTTCACACATGCTGAACCCTCTTCCTGGAGCATTTTCCCTTGTCCAGCTTCTCTGGATGATACCTCATCATGTGAAGTGATAGATTCAATCACACTTATTCTTTTATACTTTTTATCATCTGCTCCACTTTTATTTGGTGCCCCATTCTGTTCTTACAGTCATAGTATTGATCACCTTCTATTTTAAATGTCAATTTACATGTCTCTGTCTCCCAACTAGACCATAGGTTCTGTTAGGGCAAGTACAGTGTCTGCCTTCTCTACCACTGAATTACTAGTGTGTTGGCACATAATGAACACTTGAGAACATAAAGGAAACTTGCATCACATGGAGTTAAACAGTCAAGGAAAACTTTATTCAAGACTATTGTAAAAGGGAGGAGATATTGAACTTAACTCTGCTGAAATATATGGTGGGAAATTTTTAAGAGCTGACCTGATCTGGTCAAAAAATACTAGCAGATGAGGACTTCCCTGGTGGTGTAGTGGTTAAGAATCCGCCTGACAATGCAGGGGACAGCGGTTCAAGCCCTGGTCCGGGAAGATCCCACATGCCGCGGAGCAACTAAGCCTGTGCGCCACAACTACTGAGCCTGGGCTCTAGAGCCTGCGAGCCACAACTACTAAAGCCCATGCGCCTACAGCCCATGCTCCACAACGAGAAAAGCCACCACAATGAGAAGCCCGCGCACCACAATAGAGAGTGCCCCACTCGCCACAACTAGAGGAGCAACCCGGGCAGCAACGAAGACCCAGTGCAGCCAAAAATAAATAAATTAATTAATTAAAAATAATAATACTAGAAGATGTTAGGAGGAAGTTAGTCAATGTGATGAGGTCATTTGGGTTTGTTAATAGTGCCTATTATTAGGCTTGGACCCTCACCTAGACACTAGGAGATAGAGACACTATTTTTCTTGATGATTACATCTCAAAAGGGTGGCTCCCAAGTCCTTGAGAAAGACATTCCTGTGTTGTGAAACTGGCAAGAGGTTGGGAAAAGAATTATATCTCAAAGGGCCAGAAAAAAATTCATAATTGCAAGTTTAAAGTAAATGCTCTGAGAAAAGGGAGGTCAGGGGCCTAAAATCAGAAGAAACCTATGTAATGTTTAGTCAAGCCTAGGGGAATTGTAAGGCCATCTTAGTCAAGATCTATTTGTTAAATAAATGGATAATTAACCAGAAAATTTGAACACTCCATTATACAGTGAATAAAGTTTGACATGTAGTAATTAAGGACTTTTATATGACTTTTTATTTATAAAATTTAAATACACACATGACATTTGGCTTTTTAATTATTCAAACTAATTGTTCTGATTACATTTGCATATTTCTCTAATTCATAAAAATAAACTAACATTATTATAATATGGTACTTCACAAGTAGGTTAATGTTTTAATTGAACATTTTAGTTCTCAAATACTGAAGCTTCCAAGAAATTATTGACGATGTTAAAGTGCATTGTAAATAATAACTCAATATAAACATAGTAACTGGATAGAGCAAAAATATTTCGTTGCATGCTAACTGAAGTTCTTGCATATTTTAAATGGTGTTTAATATTGCTTAAATTATTGTGGCTGTAAAGAACAAACATCTAATCTAATTAAACCTGTGTAATTTCAAAGAAGGTAAACTTAGTAGCTACATGAATATTACATTAATATTCCCCAAAGTGTCATTGAATATGGTACTGGTAATGTTTTCAAAGTATTTTTGCACATTAAGAATTTTATGAATCACCTCAAATATAGGACAGCACTTAATTTAGCTAAATCTATCGTAAGAATTTATCATTCTTTAAATTATATGGTTTACTTTTTTTTCCTTTCCAGCATCACCCTTGTCTCTCCCAATTCCAGAAGCCCAACTATGTACATGTTTACGGAGGTTAATCCCGGACCTGAATTTCATTAACTGACCATAGCCATAGTTGAGTTTCTACAGTAATGAGTTCATTGGGCAGAAATTTTGTAAAGATATGGGGGAAAGAGGAGGGGTAAATATTATCTACATTTGAAAGGACCAAATTTACAAATCAGTACTCTTTTAAAGCAATTTTTTTCTCCTTGACTAACTGGGAGTTTATTTGCATGCATTCTAATTGGCAGTGCATGGGAAACTAAGACTTTTGTCATTTTGATTTAACACAGACTCACCCAGAAAGCACAACCCTGATTTTGCATGAGAAGGACCATCTATGGAACCTAAAACGTGAGTACTATTTATTTTGTGCTACTGAATTCTGCTCTGCTATATAACTGACCTTGTGATAAGACGTGGCCTTTATTAAGATATATAATGAAAGTCTTGATTAAGTTTAAGTGTAGACCATAAGAAGTGCAGAAAGTAAGAATTGATGTGTCTGTTCTATTGTTCAGTTTAAAGAATTCTAGTAGTTAGTAGATACTTAACTTTGAAGAAGATAATATAACCGTGCTATTCACTGATACTTAGTTTAAAGCAGATAGCTTTATATACTTTTGATATTCCAATTATTTATGGTTGATAAAATTTATAAAATAATCCCTTACAAATAAACATTTCCTATGCTATTTTGTGCATAATTTATTTTTTCATCTTTTCTGTGATCAATATCCCTGAGTACTTAGAGCCTATATTTATTGTCTCAGTTTTTCTCTGAGCTTTTTTTCAAATGGAGTAAGTAGTCGGTTAAAGATAAAAGATTGGTGCACCTTTTTTCCTTGTTCTGTCACAGATCCGTCTTTCCATTACTTACTAATTGTTGGCATCTCTTCTCCCTGTTTGGCTTCTGATAAGTTGTCTTTGATAACCTGCTGTTTTGTTCTTGAACTTTGCCATGGCTACAACTGTGGGGTATCAGAACTGTCAAAAATAAAAGTAAAAGAGCAAGAGGCACAGAGCTTATGAAACTTAGAGAAGACATAAAGCCTGGTATCAACTGGTGAATTTTCCACTGGCAGGTAGTTTTCACTTTATCCCATTTGTTGTCACAGTACACAGTACCTGAAATAATAAGGGAATTTTTTCCCCCAATAAATGGACTATCGGGGCTGTTTGCTTTGTGAGAATCTGCCAAGGCAACATGCCATGTGGCTTTATCTTTGAAAGTGAGGATGAAACAAGCTTGCCTGGCTTCAGATAAGCGACTTAGAAGGAATCCTATTCAGATGTACCTGTCACTAATTTATCTGGAGGTTTTGTGATTCATACATACTACTCTGTGTGCGATGAAGCATTAAATTGGTTTCCTCTGGGAGCAGGTCACATTCAGGGGCCGTCAGACCTATGCTATAGGATGGTGCATGCTTGATTCATATAGCCTCTCACTACTGAATTTTTATCTGTTAGAGGACTGGTAACGTGAACATATGTTAGATGATCTCTTGGAACATTTCAACAGCAAAGGGATTGACAACAATTTGTCTATTAATATGCAGGTGTATGTAACAAAAAATTAATCAACCTTTCTGCTGTTAGTATAATCATTTATCCTGATAATTGAGTAGTTATACATATGTTTCCCAATAATGGCCTAGCCCTTGATGAATGCATTTCTATGACTCCTTTATTTATTGAAACAAAGGGATATGTACTTAAGTGCATTACTTTATAGTGGGAAAAAAATGCAGAGCTGATTTGAAACAGGTCTCCTGAAAGAAAATCTTTAGAAAACAAAGTTTTCCCATTTATAATATAGTTTTTTACTGTGGCAATTCGACTTTGTTACTCTATATATTTTGAAAGAAAATGGCATACCTTGGAAAGTGAGACAGATACTGGTTCAAATTTGAAAGGAACATAAAAGAAAGAGATGCCTATTTATATGTTAACATTGTGCTGAGAGATTTTTCATATGGATTTTTTTTTATGTGGTATATTTAACAAATGCAAAAACAGAAACAAAGAAAACCTATTCTTCATTTTATTATTTCCATGATGGGGTATATAAAACTAAAACCTAATATCTTCCCTTGGGTTTTTTTTTGTTTGTTTGTTTTTTGCGGTACGCGGGCCTGGCCTCTCCCATTCCGGAGCACAGGCTCCGGACGCGCAGGCTCAGTGGCCATGGCTCACGGGCCCAGCCGCTCCGCAGCATGTGGGATCTCCCCGGACCTGGGCACGGACCCGTGTCCCCTGCATTGGCAGGCGGACTCTCAACCACTGCGCCACCAGGGAAGCCCTATGCTGCATTTTTATATGGTGTAAGTCCTCAGATTTTATCCTAGGTGTGAAAATGTGGAACATTTAACATAAACTGGAATTTTCCTATTAATGAGTTATATCATAATTAGGGCATTACTGTAGGAACCTACTAAGTCATTTATGCACGATTCACAATATTTAAATAAGATATTCTTCACATTTCACAATCCTTAAATTAAACTGTGGTCTTAAAACCTTGCAAGGCCTCCTAATAAAGAGGAGTGTGAAGTAAATATATTTAATAATATTATTTTAAGATTTCAAAATATTCTAGTAAGCATTTTTTTGAAAAGAAAGGAAAGAAAGAAAAGCAGTTCATGAAACTAGGAAAAAAATACTGTTATACCATATGCAAAGTACACATGATTAGGCATATTTCTGCCCTCTTCTCTCCATTCCAATTTTGTTTTTTGCTATAGACAATAAAAAATGCATAACTTTGAATTTTCCATATCTTTTTTTAAACCTATTATATACCTCACTACAAGGTATTTTCTTAATTTTTTTTTTAAGAAAAATCTTTTATAAATACAGACTAAATTCACGTTATTTTCAGAATGAAAATAGCATGAACCATTTATGGAATAAAATGGAATAAAATGAACCATTTTGTTAGAGACATTTAAAGGATTTAACAAGTATTTTGTTGCTAAGATTATAATGGTACTTTTAAATAGTTTTTTATATCTATCATGAATTTTTCCTCTGTTCTTTTATAAGTTTAAGGTGTACAGCATTATAATTTAACATCTGTATACACCAAAGAGAGATTACCACCACAAGTCTAATTACCATCCAACTGCATACAGTTGACCCCCTTCACTTATTTTGCCCACTCCCAAATCCCTTCTACTTAGGTAATCACCAATCTTATCTCTAAGTTTATTTTTATTGGTTAGTTTTGTTTTTTTAGATTTTATGTATGAGTGAAATCTTAAGGTATTTGTATTTTTCCATCTGACTTATTTCACTTAGCATTATTCTTTTAAGGTCCATCCATGTTGTCACAAGTGGCAGGATTTCATTCTTTTTATGGCTGAGTAGTATTCCATTGCATTCCATACATACACCACATCTTTATCCATTCTTTTATTGATGGACACTTAGGTTGTTTCCACATCTTGGCTATTGTAAATAATGCTGCAGTGAACATAGGGGTACATATATCTTTTTGAATTAGTGTTTTCATGTTCTTCAGATAAACACCCAGAAGTTTAATAGCTGGGTCATATTGTGGTTCTATTCATAATTTTTTGAGGAATATCCATAACTATTTTCCACAGTGGCTACACCATTTTACAGTCCCATCAACAGTGTATGAGGGTTCCCTTTTTCCACATCCTCTACAACATTTGTTATTTCTTGTCTTTTCAATAACAGCCATTCTTTTTCTCTTTTCTTTACATGGTGAGTAAATCCCCACATTTCAGACTCTGCTTAAATAGATTAAATATCACCTCTTCTAAAAAGCATTTTCTAGTTGTCTAATCTAGTCTTGATCTCTCACAGACTTCTTTGATCTCATAGCATTTGCCATAATATTTAAGTATTTTACCTATATTTTATAAATAGTAATTATATAAATAATATACTATATATATAGAAAGAATATTATTTACCTGTTTATATTTTGTCTGTTATACAAAACTTAAGCACAATTTCAGTGCCTAGCATAGTGCCTAGTATATAATAAATAGTCAATAAAATTTGTTGAGTTTATGAAATCAGATAATTAAAACAAAATAATTCCATAACTAAGAGTATAAGAAATATAAAGTATATATTAAATATATAGAACAGAAAGTTATATAATTACTGGTTAATTTAACAAAATAATTACAAATATCATATACAAACAGAGAAGTCAGCAAGCTTCACACAGTAGCTTCTCCAGAAAACAACTGAACCCTACCAATACCTATTAGATATTAAGTGTCATGGAATCTGTAAGTAGTATTGTCTTGGAGTAATTATAAAAATTTCCATGGATATCTTCTGAAATAGTTTAAAGAGAAACAAAAATATCTATGATTTTTAAAAACAACCAGTTATTTTACAAGTGTTTATTGAGAGCTGACTATGTATGAAACTGTGCAAAAGTCTATAGGAGATTTATTATTGTAAATGGTTAACTCTCACCTCATGGGATCAATATATAGTAAGAAAATTCAATATATACTTTTAAAAAGTTAAAGTAGAACTTTAACTATAGAGCAGAAGTTGAAAATGTTAATGGCATTTAGCAGAACTAGAGTTCATTTTTAGCTGAGGGAAATAGCAACAGCATACTGCAGAGGTTAATTTGACACTAATCTTTGAAGAAAGCTGAAGGAATTCTTGGCAGAGGGAATAGCATAAGAAAAGGCATGAAGAAGGTGTTTAGTAAGAATTAGTTGCTCATTTCAACAGGTATATCAAATAAATGTAGGAGGATATATTATGTTATGTTTGGCAGCTGCTTTGGATGGAAGTTATATTTGAAAATAGATTAGGACAAGATTGTGGAAGATTTAATTCTAGTTTAAGAAATAGGGATTTTGTTGGCATGTAGCTAAGTCCCTAGAATATGTTCAATCTCTTCTTATTTTAGAAGCCTAAAAAAAAAAGAATGTGATTATTTTGAATGATGGTTTACACAGAAAAATCTGGCATTACGTATTATAAGATCTCCCTTTTGTATGTGCTGTATATTTGCATACATGCATATATGCCACACATACACATATGTGTCAGGGTGTGTGTGTATATGTGTGTGTGCATAGTAAATGTGTATCACTTAATCTGGCTTTATTTTAAAAATAGATTAGAGGAGGAGCCAGTGTCATTATGTATGGAAACTACTGGTCACTTCAGCAAATACTCAATAAACTGATAAAGCAAGGAAACATGAAATAAAATATCAGATGAAGGGCATATCTTTCAGAGACACACTTGAGGAAGAACTCATAAGAATGATGACTTGTGAACTCATTATACATGTACATATATCCACTCTTCTTTTTAGATTCTTTTGCCATTTAGGCCAT